TCACCAAGCGTGCTGTTTGTGCACACCAATTCATGTTGGCGCTCCCCTTCTCATTGGCCCATTCGTCTTTGAGAGTACTGTTGATCTGAATGGCACTCAAGGTCGTCTACGTCATTAAATAAGTCCGCTTAGCTAAGCTGAACTCGGCCTTTGGCTGAGACGGCAAGAAACCCTCAACTTACGTTCATTTCTTGCCGTGAGTTTTGGAGGAAACTAGTAATTTTGTCGGCTTCCACACTTGCTTTAATCAGAATCAGTGCTTTTTTGAATGATGAATGTTCCTGACTCAAGTTAAAAAGAGCTACTTTGGCCATCTTTGTTACAATAAGAGGCCTGTTTACTATGTGGGGAAATCAGTCGCTTTTTTTCAATTAATGCTACATTTCAATGCTAGGACAGAACGTTTTTTTAATTAGTAGGTGCGCGACATTTAAGAAAGGAAGGCTTTTGGTTTTAACTCTTTTACTTTGAGCTGGTGAATTCCAAACGTAGGTTCTTTTTCAAACTGTTTTATCCAAAGCAGAAGGCCAATCAGAGCTTTTAATCGTGGCTTGGACATTTGAGAACACATTTGTGCTGTTTATGCACACCAATTCGTACCGGCGCTCCTCTCCCTATTGGGCCGTTCAACTTCGGGAGTACTGTTGATTTGAATTGGAAAGAAAGACGGTGTTCAAAAGGTACACAATGATCAAGACCTAGCCATGGTAACTCACCCTATGATGTGACACGACGCAAGGGACCATGGTATTCTATTGGATTGCCTTAAATCAAATTGCCAAAATTGCTAACCCATTATCGGCGTTGAAATTGATGTTTCCTCCGAACGTAACGAGATCGACTTCAAACCTCGCCTGTCAGTTACCACGTTGTCGTAATTTAAACACATTTCCACAAGCGTTGTCCGTAGCCACCAAGCCACAGGGATGGTAATGCTGCGAATCGCATTTCGTCTCGATTCAACGCCGTCCGTTCTCTTTTCGTGGATAGTGAAGAAGCACAGCCGGACAGCGGCGTGGTTGCGTACCACACTCCGAAGTGAAGACACTGACGTCCAAGACGGGCAGGTTTGGCGGTAGACAAGACGAATTCTTCGTGAAATCGCTTCCACACATCCACACACGCACACGCCACGTGCGCCTTGCAGTGTCGTCGTGTTGGCAACACCAACAACAACTCGAACATTTGCTTGAACAGCTACGAACACACACACACACACACACACACGCTGTCTCGTCAACTGACCGTCTGCTTGTTTGTTGTCCAATGTTTGCACAATCTGTCGCTGCGAAAAGACGCGCAAGTGAGATGGCAGTGTGTGTGTGTGTGTGTGTTTGGTGGAGTCGCGAGCGCCTCAAAGCAAGCGCACGTTTGGAGGCAGTCGAAGTTGGCAGTGTTGTGTCTAACCAACACTAGGAGTTTCTGCGCGCGTGTGAGTTGACTCGCTTGGGGGCAGGGGGAGGGGGAGCAAGCGGACATCCAGCGTCCCACTTCATCGACCGCGTCCAGATGAAGGCGTCTGCTAGTCGCCGTGAAACCAACCTCACTGACAATCACCAAACACACCCTTACCAATGACCATCGTCTTCTCGTGCATTGACAATGCGCAAGGCGGGTGTGTTTGAGCCAACGTCTTGGAAGTTGTTTGAGGTGCGAATGACATGTTGGCTTGTCGTTGTGGCAGAGGAGGTGGGAGGCGTGCTTGCCAGCGTCGATACACGCCCTGACTTGTTACACACCAACCGAGCCTGTTGCATCAGTGTGTCTGTGTGTGTATGTGTGCGTCTGGAGTGTGTTCGAGGAGGCGAGGGTGTCTAGGAGGTGGAGACGTGGGGAGAAGTTGAAGGCGTGGCAGCGAGGTTATCGCCAGTGTTCCACACAATCGATTGAAACTGCCGTGTGTTGCCTGCGTTGCGTCCACCTGTAGCCGAGTCGTAGAGACCGCGGAGAGCAGAGGCGGACAGCAGGGTGGTGGAGATGGAGGCGGTGGTGATGCTCACCTTGGCAACCGTGTGCGCGCTCTTTGTTAGTGAAGGTCACCGTGTTTTCCTCACTCGCTTTGTCCCGCCGGCTACATCAAAGCGAAGAGCCGGCGCGCTGAGCCAAAGTACCGACGTATTGTCAGGCGCTGGTGCTACGCTCGCCTCACTTCATCGTTCGCTTGTGCAGCGTAACACCAATCCAGGGGACCGATTGGCGCTTTTATGAAATTCTGGTCTCTGTTTTCCTGAAGCTTTAGTTTCCAACTGTTTGGTCGTGTTTGAATTTCGTCAGGTCTTCGGACATCATCTCAAATGTGTATTGTGCAACCGTAATTGACATCCACGCGTCGGTAGAGATACCCTGCCTGAAACCAATCAAATTCCACCCTTACTGACTAACGTCTTCTCTGACTGGTTGATGGCTATCGATTTTCGTTATCGCCATCGTGTTTAAACGCAACCCGAAGGTCCTTTTACATGCCTGTCATTGAGGGAGGTCTAGTGATATTTAGACTCAAAGACATATTTATCATCAACAAGTAGGTCATTTTAGAGGAGATACGAATGCGCCATCTATAAGGCGTGTGGCTTAATCAGATCAACGAACGTAATCACTGAAATATTGTAGCACTAGATACACATGAGAACCTTCTTCGACGTCGATTTACGTGGTTACCCGGGATAAACCCACGACCTTTTGCGTTTGGCATTCTTGTAGAAAAATGTACTTTTTATCACCCGTCACAATAATCCCGCACGAAACTCTTTTTTGTTGTGCTTATACGTTGAGCTAGGTGGTTGTGTTCGGTCAACACACGTGGCGGGGGGGCCCAACTTCCAAGTTATTGAATTTTTTCGTTCGGTGATGCAAACGCATTAAAACAGGTGTTTGGGTGACTTCTGCCTGAACTGAGCTGGAAGTTCTTGTCGTCTTTCCGTCGGGTCTTCATCCAGGGGAGCTTGCAATTCCGCGTCGTCGAGCTTTCGAGGCTGCTGTCCGGGGTGTGGTTGGTCACGAAGATCGAAACCACCACCACTTCTAAAACGTTTGTACCAATAATCGGACGTGACATGAGGCACAAGAACACGACGAATTGAATCCCTCCGTTTTTTAGAAGCACTTTTCCACGTCGGAATTCGCAGTGCCATCGAATGTGCTGTTTATCAGTTGCCATCATCGTAAACCCTGCTATTCAGAGAGGTTATGGTAACTCTCGTAAACTTATAGTTCGGTGTTCGGCAACCTTGTGTGCGATCCTTTGAAACCTACAATTAATCTGGACATTATTTCTAGAAATTAAGTCGTGCATTTAATACAACTCTTGATCGACCACGTCGCCTCCAGCTGTGTCGAAGCTTCGGATTTTGCGCACCCGCCACCATGAAAATGTTTGCATGTTTGGTCAGGCGATTTCGTTATTGCAGTCCCCGCCCTTCTTTACGCTTGCGATTTCTCCGTGTAGATTCGTGGAGCCTACGGCTGGGCGAAGGCCGCCAACCTGCGACTGTGGAGGCGACCCTCCAACGAGGAGCTGACGTGCAACTCGATGGTGAATGTCCTGGATCTGGTGGAAGGCGATCTCTACGTGGAATAACTCCCACCCTCCACTCTGTGTGCTCCCTCTGTTTGATGTCCATAACATTGTGTAGAAGTTGTGTGTGTGTGTGTTGGAATTTGACTTTGATACTTCTGTGCGATTGTGGAAGGGATGTGAGGTACAGCCATTTAAATGACCAGAATTTTCCCTGCGCCATTGTTGACCAATCAGGGCTAGTCAAGTTTACCAGTGCTAAGTTAGGCTGTGAAAAAGCGACAAAACAACAAATAATGGCAGGTAATGCTCTGAAATTGTTGAAAACAAGTTGGATTCTTTTTCAGAACTAATTGAACACACCGGGAGTGAAGATATCAGGTTATCAGCGGCTTCACCCGAGTGAAGCCCCTTCACTGACCTGAACGTGTCAATGACTCATCCACTTTTCATTGGTTACTGTTGTCAATCGTTAGTCGTCCACTCACACATCCAGGCATTAAGATACGTTTTGGATGGCTTGTCTTTGTTCTTGGGTCGTTACGGGCAGGTAACTAGAGGGTTGCAAGGTGGTGCTAAGTGAGGCTGCTACAAGTACATTACTAAAGCCATGGCAACCGATGTAACTAAAGTGTCCAGTCACCAGTGAGATCAAAAAATGTCACTGAACCTAGGTCACATGGTCGTGTTGTAGGCCGAAACCCCACTAGCAGCCAATCACCACCATTAAAAGCCCAGCCAATGAAGCCACATGATTGGTAACTGACCTTCCCGTCCATTGTGGAGGTCACTTTAAGCACACTTTCAGTGGCTCTTAATGTCTTCTGTGGGAAATTGCGAGTTCAAAACAGCTGATTCGATTCGGTTTCAGGATGCGTCGAAATCTAGTCTCAAAGTGTGACAGGCATGTAAAAGGACCTTCGGGTTGCGTTTAAACACGATGGCGATAACGAAAATCGATAGCCATCAACCAGTCAG